GTCCCAGGCGACTTTCTGATCAATCAGAAAATCATGGCCAAGTAATACGTCGCAATATAGGTCGTCTAAAAAACCGCTGAAAAACGCACTTCTAAATCCGCGATTTTGGCGGTAAACGTGGCGGTACCGTTCGTCGTGGCGGTATGTCCGTCCGCTAGTCTAACCGCGTCAGTGTGTCCTTTATAAACAGTTCCGTATTTATAAGCAATTACCGGTTTTACATACGATTTATGCGCCTGTGAGTCGAGTAAGGCTGTGACGAAGCCAGTTTCGAATTCTAACTCGACTGCTGGAGTAGTAATTCTACGCGGGCATTTTCGTTGGCCATTACTCAGGTGGTTTACGGTTCGAACGGGGGGCAGCTGGTTCTTAACCGCGACGTCGGTTTGCCCACCGACAGTGTTAACTGCCATTAGTGGACTAGCCGGATCGACTGACACCCCCTCCCCCACTGTGCCCGAAAAAATTTCGAACACCTGACTCGCGCTTTGTTCGTTCGTGTCGGCAGCGTGTTCGAACTCCGATACCCTGATTACATCCGAATTTACCGCGGCGTCCCCTCCATTCCGATAAGAGGGGTGCGGTGCCGAAAAAGTGCCAAGATCGTTGGCGATATGTAACTCGTAAGGGCCGTTAGATTCGGTGTTCTGCGCGACGGTCGTGCTGTGTGGTATGTTACCGAATAAAAATTGCGAAGCGGCAGGGCGCGTTTTAAACGAAACGTCGTCTAAAACGCTGCGCCCTGTGTGGATCTGTTGTAGGCTGAAGGGGCGGACTAATTCCCTCCTAGCCGATTGCCGTTTCCCGATACCGACGGTCTGTTTGGGCACTGGCGGTGCCAGTGTCGCTCGCCGCAATATCGGCACGGGGTAGGCGGTGCGTCCGCGTGTGCATAACCCGCTCGCTGTCGGGCCGCTGGTTGTGCGGTATGCCGCGGATGCAGTTCGGCTGGCTGTCGGGACGCTGACGGAGCGTACCGAAGAGCCGCGGTTTTATCTACGTCGTGCGCTATCTCACGTAGATCGGCGAAAGACGCTGGGTGCATTAACCGTATCATGGCGCGGTAATCGTCCCGTAAAAGCCCCGTTAACTGTCGCACAAGTTGTTGTTCTGGTAAACCACAACGTACTCGCGCGGCCAATCGTTGTTTATGAATAATAAATTCAGTTAACATTTGTCGGGGGCCATGTCGCGTCGTTTTTAAGTCCGTCTCGAGCGCCGTCCGGATATCGATATTGTCGAACTCCTCGAGTAATTCGGACCTAAATTCCGCCCA